TAAAAAAGGGGTTTTAAACCCCCCCCCCCCCCCCCCCCCTTCAGGACCTTGGTACAAAAGATGGGAGATTTTTACGTGTGTCTAGCTGACGAATGATTATGCATGTCCATTGACACGTTTGATATTTTTCGTTACCACTGTAGTGATAATTGAGAAGTTTAGGTTTGACTCCTACTGCCACTATATCGCTACGAATAAGGGATCCATTAACCAATCAGATGCTTTAATTTTCCCGATAATCAGATGCGTGCTAACTGCTAAGTCGATCAATGCTAAGTCAGTGAAAGGTAGTGATAGTAGAAGTCAAATATAAACTTCACTAATGTATAGGTTCAAAGTATAGCCTAGACCCAGGGCCTTTACTTGACAGGCCAGTCCCATTCTTCTCATGTGAAAAAGCGCTGAAATATAAGTAGAAAATAGTAATCAAAGATTTAGTGGTGGCGTATATAAACCATCAGTGATATTGAAACACGCGTTGGACAAGATCAATACAATGATATTGTTACAATTTTGCATTAGGGACGGACCGTTAGAAAAGTGATTAGGGAGGGGGAATTCGTATAAAGGAAAATGGAAGATAAAAAAAAGTTCGTACAAAGAGGAAAGCGAAGAAAAATTCCGAAAAAAATTCCAGCACAAGCAGATGGCGGAAAAAATTGTTGAAGCTGGAAATCCCCATCATCACTTGTCTAATGGTCCGCCCCGTAAAGACGTTATTATACTTAGATCTACGAATAATCGACCGAGCTGGCTCGGTAAAGACCTGGTAGCAACGCATTACATTGATTGTTTTCAATGGCTCTGGTTACGAGATTGGATTGTTTTTTAACAAAGATGTAAATAATATAATGACATGCGAATAATATAGTATGAAATATTAGTTTTTGTATATGTACATGATGTTTTGCTGCATTGCTGCTACACTATACCTCGTGCAAAGTCTCTCCAAAAGAGATTAGAAACAGGGGCGTGGGAAGCCTGATAAACTTAGGCCACATAAAGTAAATCCCTTGGTTTTTATCACTATATACATTTTCAAATTGTCAAAGAGGAGGGATGTATATATTTTATATAATTTATATACCAATAAATAGAAATAATTCATAACATTCAATAATGCAACTGTCACAAACCGAAATAAAATATTACAGTACACATTTCTGTCATCTCCAACGTATTTCAACGAACAATGACTGAACCCTTGAACGGAGTGCGAAGTACCTTGCAATGAAATTTCGTTCGAGGTTGTTTGTTTGTCGATGAATAGACCTTACCGATTATTCTCTTTTATTATATAAAGTATAGTGCTTTATAGAAATTTCGAGCACTGATAAAAGTGATAATCTCACATGTGAGATTATTCATGATAATCTCACATGTGAAAATTATCGCTTTTCAAATATCGCTTTTCTGTACAAATCAATTATCGCTTTTCAAAGACTGTCCTTTATATAATAAACAGAAAAATACATTGGTGCTTGGAAATACCAGATTTATTTCTCTTGTTGAACATGATATCTCACGAGTGAGCGCAGCGAACGAGTGAGATATCATGTTCAACACGAGAAATAAATCTGGTATTTCCAAGCACCCATGTATTATTCTCTATTTACCCAATGGCCTATTGGCCTCAGTTTCCATGTTAACTTATTTTAGCATGTCGGGGGCAGATAAAGATTATATTCCCATGTTTTCCTGGACGAATTTGGTTCTTGCTGTTCTTAGGCTCAATAACAAAGTAATTTTCAACCCTACTATTAAGCACAAAACATATGAGATTTGATATGAAAACGAGGACATTGGTTAAAAGGTCTATTACCATAAGTAATCAATCTTCCTCCGAGTAAAAATTCAAGTAGTTTTGAAACCTTCCTCAAAATAATGCGAATTATGTCTTTTTCAAATTGCAAAATACATACATTATGTCTGTAAATATAATTTAAATATAGTTAGAAAATTACCTAATTAGAAAATTGGGGCTTTCTCGAGGTATGAACAACCGAATTGTAGTACTGGTTAATACTTTACATTATACTCATGATTTCGCTTGTTCATACTCTTTCGGAAGTGTTTAATGTTATTGTTTTTGTGTCTATAGAGTTTAGGAGGACCGGATTGGAAAAAAGTTGTAACTTTATATAAAGTGTATAAAGTGTTATTATTATTATTATTATTACCTTGCCAACCTGGACCTGCCTAGTTTAATAAGTATCCTTTATTTGTTTCATGCGGTTAGTGTTGAGTAGAGTGTTCCACATTAAACTTCCTCACTCACCTCACATATGCATGGTAAACCTTCCTCACAGGTGGTACCCACGCATACCCGCAGCTTCTTTGCAATTGTGGTTTGAAGTTGGCAGTTTCAAAGCCACAAAATACACTCAGCTACGAAGTATTTTAGTGATTCGAAATCACCCGTCCAGGCTAGGCCAAGCGATTTCAGAGTCGATTCGGTTTGCTTTCTGGTATCATTTGCAAAATTGAGTAACGAACTAGACAAATTTTCGCTCGGGCTAGCGGAGCTCAAAATAACATGTCTAACTAGTAACCGCCATGAAAATACAATCGAGCTCCATAGGCGTACCGGGCGGCCCCCCTCCCCCCCAGTTTGTTGGGCAGTCGGGCAATATTCGATCAACAGTCGGGCAATTTTGGTTTGCAATAAAAAAAAATGGGACAAATTCTGTAAATTTTGTCTAAAATTAAGTAAATTTGGTGGCCAATTTTTGTTTTTTTTGCAAATTTGTCTTATGTTCCGAAAAATTTTGGTTGTCCGGAAAATTTTTTTGACCCCTAAAATGGTACACTGACCAAAACTTTTTTGGCGACGGGGGGGGGTGGGGGGGGGGAGGTCGCCAAAATAATTTTTCCGGAAAAAAATTTTCGGTACTAGTCGGGCACAATCACGAAAAGTCGGGCAATTTTCTTTCCGCCCCCCTAAATTTTTCCTTCCGGTACGCCCATGTCGAGCTCAATCACCGACCGTGCACAAATTAACATCAACTAAGACCGAAAACATAATGCAATGACTTCTGTTCAGTTTCCAGACCATCATATCTTGATAGACTATGTAAAAACTCAATATAAAATATAAAAAATGTTACTGTCTTGAAATATTTTGTCGGGCGGTACATTTAATTATATTGTATAACAGTTATAACAAAATATCTGAATTATTCACGAGGCTGTTAAAATACAGTTTTAACACAAGTTGGCGCTGGGAGTCTTTTTAGTTGGGCCGTTTCATTAATTCTTTCATTATGATTTGTCAATCGTTAACGTGGTGATTTTGGCATTTGAATTTGCGGCTCACTGATTTGCGGTGTCATGGTGATTCGCGCATTTTTTTTCATTTTTTCATTTTGGCGCCAACATTGTGGGCATGCGCGTTACAATCTTATCGTGTATCATCGTTTCGAAAAAGTGCCAGCAATGGCGAACGAAGATTTAACGCATTTTGAAGGACTTCTCGGTCAGCTGATGTCACATGAGAATACCATAAGGCAGCAAGCTGAAGTAAGGACACTTAATTCTTATACGTTTATCTATTTTTACATGCAATTGTAGTGATTTCGAGCATTTAATTAGCCGAAATAGACCGGCGTATGTCGACATCGCGCTAATATCAAACGCCGGTCGAATGATGTTATCATAAACATATGTGCAATTCATTTTTCTACATTACATATTGCAGTGTGAACAGTATAACACTGAGCAGGATTAGTGATCTCTGAGTATGATTGAAAGTAAGACCTAAAATCTGGCGATTGTTTCATGGGAATACCGAAATATTTTTGTCACGTGTTGGTCCAATACTAACTAATATTGTTGACATTTCTCAAAATATTAACATTTTCAAGATGTCCTTTACCCATTGGACGAAATGTGTTTCAATGGCTATTTAATGCAGCTGTTGCTCTGGATGAAGGGAGAAAATCCATTCCAAAAAGTGTGGGGGAGGGGAGACTGTAGCTGGCCAACAGATGCAACCCTATGATAGATTGTAATATGAATGTCCAAAAAGTGTGGGGGAGGGGAGACCGTAGCCATAGATTAAGGAATGAATAGATGGCTCACTCCTTTGATGTTTTTGACGCTGCCGGCGCCCACGCATGTTCTTGCCAGAGTAATGGCGGCCTAGCAAGTAACTGTAGTAAAATGCATTGTAAAATTGACATCGGTGCTACTAAATTCTGTATTTTTTCGCTTTTGGGAGGTTTAATGGAAAGATAAATCAGAATTATAAAAATACAGAATTTAGTAGCACCGATGTCAATTTTACAATGCATTTTACTACAGTTACTTGCTAGGCCGCCATTACTCTGGCAAGAACATGCGTGGGCGCCGGCAGCGTCAAAAACATCAAAGGAGTGAGCCATCTATTCATTCCTTAATCTATGCCGTAGCTGGCCAACAGATGCAATTTATGATAAATTGTATTAATATGAATGTGGGGCAATGCATCCCCCCAGGATTTACACTCTTAATCTGGATGTAGTTGTGCAAAGAAGCAATAGTTTTATAATGCAAAATTTCCTCTGTATATAAATTTTGCAAACAGATGGATGATCTGTCAAGACGAATAATTTGTCTAATGAATCATATGTCCTAGTGTAAATACAGGACAAATTATATTTTTCAAGTTACGGTGAAACAAATGTGTGATTTCCCAATTTTATCATAAACATGAAACATGTGTCAATTTGAACAAGCATTAAAAGTACTGTATCTGTGAGCAAAAACTGAGACACAAGCTTATGTAAAACTAGCCTGCATGGCAGGCCCTCAAATTTATGGGGGGCCTGATTTGCAGCGGGCAGGATTTTGGCGGGCTCCGGGGGAGGATTGAGAGCCTGCAGGAAAGCCCACCTTTCATGACTACACGCCCAAGTCATAACATAATTAATGGTTTCTAAAATTGACCAATAAAAATTCAGCTGCAATTGGGGAAAACCCTGGCCCGAAAGAAATATATTCGCTTGCACGTAAACATGTCAATCAAACAATATTGCGAATTAAACTCCCGACGATTTAATACAGTATTGCAGATTTTGTAAATGTTGTTTTAAATTAAACAGCAATTTGGCAATTTTAGTAAAATTGTTCATGTTTCATCACAAAAACCATCACAAAGAAAACAATCTTTCGGAATTGTGGCTCAGATTATATGTGAGAAAGTTGGCTTCAAGAAAAATTCAAAAGTACATGAGCTTGTAACAGAATTAAAATCTTCAGTTAATACACTACACAAGAAGTTTCAACACCATTACCAGCCCAAAGATGTAGAAACATCAGGAATCGAAAGCGTAAACTGTTAACTCCTGACCCGCTGACCGTGGCACTAGTCCATTCAACCAAACTGAATCAAATAGCGTTTGTTCTCCGCGATGTTCTCCGGGTAATATGTCTAGAACTGAATCGAAATCTGTGCGTAAATAAGCTTGTTCAGCAGCGATACAAAAGATGATCTCACTGGCCAGTCATCAAGAAATACTGCAGACAACGTGGATGTAAATACTGATTCTGACGATGTACCGAAGTAAGCTCAACATCGACGGTTTGAAAATGTGTGAAGGGCGTTCGTCACTTAAATCATTAAAAGTGCTTTTAGGTCATCCGAATGAGAATATTGTGACGCGAAACCCTACAAACGAAATGTGGCTGGACCACCCAGTGATGAACGCCCTTCACACGTTTTCAAACCATCGATGTTGAGCTTAATACTTTTATATAGTACATCATCAGAATCAGTATTTACATCCATGCACGTTAATTGTTTGCAGTATCCTGTGCTATTTCCTGACGACTGGCCAGTGAGATCATCTTTTGTATCGCTGCTGAACAAGAAAAAATAGCCACAATGTTCAACAGTTCAAGATTAGAAAGTTGTTAAGATTAGAAAGTTGATAAGCATCAAGATTAGAAAGTTGATAAGCAACAATATTGAAATCAACAAATACTACGGTTTTTCACTGTCTTGGTATTGACCAATCAGGTGATCGTATTGACCGTTCAGAATCTGAACGGCGTGTAGTCATAAAAGGTGGGCTTTCCTGCAGGCCCCCCGGAGCCTGCCAAAATCCTGCCCGCTGCAAATCAGCCCCCCATAAATTTGAGGGCCTGTCACACAGGCTAATGTAAAACATGCCTTGCCATCAATGGAAAGGTGCGTATGTGCCAGGCCTTGGAATTCAGGTCGGCCAATGTGCCAGTTGACTTAATTAACTATCAAAAAGTTTTGACCTGCAAAAATAATATATGATACAAGTTCAGGGCAAAAGAGAAAAGCAGGTGACATACAAACAAACAATGTTTTGATCATAAGTTACAGTAGGTTCTGTATTACTATGGCAGTATTACTATGGATACATTTTTTGAAACTTAAATTTGGTTGACAACTTTGCCAGCCTTGTTTCATTGCAGGTTGGCAAAACTTTCCCTGACTGTGTTTGACGTTCCACCACTTCCAAAGTACTGTATGGTGTGTGTGCATGTTTTGTTATGCACCTTTTCAGGCCATCCTGGGAAGAGCATACATTCCCAATGAACGCATGCCTCAGCTTATCAAGAAGTGCAATTTATCACATTCCTCGATTAATCTGCAATGGGTCATTCCAGAAAAGATCCACGCTCCCCCCACAGAGGAAAGGACAAAATTGTTTCTGATAATAGTAAATGTATTAGGACATACATAGTAAATGTATTAGGACACACCGATATATCGATATTTTTTCGCAATTGTATTTTGCTCAATTTTATGCAAAATTTGCTTAATTTTATGGAAAATTTTCCGTTTTCAAATGATGCCAAACAGCTACAATATATATATATATATATATATATATATATATATATATATATATATATATATATATATATATATATATATATATATATATATATATATATATATATATATATATATATATATCGAGTCGAAAGCTCAAAACAAATTACAATCCGGAGAACACTGTATAATTTTGTAAAAATTATAATTTTATATATAATATATATATATATATATATATATATATATATATATATATATATATATATATATATATATATATATATATATATATATATATATATATAACTTGCATCTTAGCATTTTAAAGAAGATAGAAATCATAGAACTTTAAATAATGTATACCTATAATAAGGATAATAGACCTGCATAATTTGTAATTGAGCGGGCACATGCCCAATTGTGAATTATCCCTAAGGTCTATATTGTATAAATATGGCAATTCCTTGACTTTACCGATGTTTATTGATTGGAATTTAGTGTTGTTAGGCTTCTTTCCAGTTACACGTTTTTCATATGTGTACACACATGGAAAAGTTTAAATCCATTTAAAGGTTTCTTATGAAATAATTACAGTAAATGAATAAATGGCCAGCAATTAGTTTTGTGATTTATTTAAAGCACATTTGTGGAAGTAGTTATTTATTTAAAGCATACTGTATTTGTGATTTATTTAAAGCATATTTGTTAGTAAGGTTCAAACTTACGTATATACTGTATGTGCGAAAATATTGATACATTGCATCATTGATTGTAACTAGGCATTTGTCAACCCTAAAGTATAAAAGCTATATATACATGCAGAGAGCTTTAGATTTTACTACAAGTATGACAATGGAATTCGTTCATTTGGATACGCCATATTCTTATTTTGTCATCGTATCCCAACAAACATTAAAAAATGACAACACCCTTGACAGGCTCCTCATAGATTTTGAATACTATCAGTTTACCACCAGTCTTTCCTCATTGAGGGCTACAGTAGCATATAGAAGTTTGTTGATTATGTGCATTTTAGTACAGCCATTATTATTATTATTAATTTTTTGTCCACAAAATATATACAAGTCGTAAAAAATAATTACAGTAGTATAATGGGCTAGGGACCTTTGGAAATCCTGTTGGACTTTTATAGTAAGGCCCCTAGTTTTAGTATTCTAGTGATAAAAGACTATGAAAGAAGAAATTATATACAAGCAGAAACTATTTACAACAAATTGAAAGATGAAAAAATACTAAGAAATAAAATAGTACATATTTACTATCATTAGTGTTCCTAAGGCTATTGCTAAGGTTTTTATAATTTATTTACATTAATTAGATAATAATTAAGTAAAGGGATTTTGCTTTTCTCTTAAAAGAAAAATAAGTTTTAGTATTTTTAATTTTGTCATAAAGAAAATTCCATAAAGAAATTCCTTTGTTAAATACAGT